TGGGCTCCCCCCCAGCCCTGCCGGTGCCCCTCACTCCCGACCCACAGCCCCCTGCTAAACCAGCTGCCCTGCCCCCGCCAGTGTTCTGCCGATACCTGTCAGGCCTGGCTCTGGGAGGGGAGTGGGGTCCAGTTGTTATAGCTGGGGGGAGCTGGGAGCCCGGACTCCTGGGTTCTGTTCCTCCATTGCCACTGGCTGCCCATAGTTGGCGCGTGGGACGGGGGGATTCAGTCTCTGTGTTGGTGGGGGGGCTGGGCCAGCAGCGGGAGAGGGCAAAGGCTCCCTGGCTAGGGGTGAGGGGTGGAACCGAGCCCAGAACTGACCAGCCTCCCTCTGTCTCCCCCCAGGCCCCGCACTCCCCTTCCCCCTCCAGCTGCCCCCCGGCCCCCTGGCGGTGCTGCTGGGGGGGAACCTCTCAATCCCCCTCTCCTACCCCCCGGCCCAGCCGCCCCCCAGAATCGTCTGGCAGAGGAACCTGACGGCGCTGGCAGACGGACGCCTGGGTCCCAACGGCTCGGTGGCCGTGGCCCCGGCCTACCAGGACCGGCTCAGCGTGGACCCCCAAGGGGGGGCGCTCACCATCGCCCCCGTGGCCCTGCAGGATGCCGGCCCCTACACGGTCGAGGTCTTCCCGCTGGGGGGCCAGGTGTGGAGGGGGGACATCCAGGTGGAGGTGTATGGTAAGTGGGGGCAGCCCAGACGCCTGGGTTCTATGCCGAGCCCTGGGAGGGGAGTGGGGTTTAGTGGTTGGAGCGAGGGGGAGGGAGCTGGGAGCCAGGACACCTGGGTTCTATCTCCCCTCTGGGAGGGCGGGGGGGAGGGGCTGGGAGCCAGGACACCTGGGTTCTATCTCCCCTCTGGGAGGGCGGGGGGGGGGGGAGGCGGGGGGGATAGAGAAGAGGGGGGAGGGGCTGGGAGCCAGGACACCTGGGTTCTTTCCCCATGCCTGTTTCCCCCCCGCAGAGCTGGTAGGGAACATCTCTGTGACGCCCCCGTCCCTGGCAGTGAGCGAAGGCGCCGGGTCGGCGGCTCTCACCTGCGCCTCCGTGCGGGGCACCGTCACCTGGACCAAGGAAGGGCAAAGCCTGGACCAGAACCCCCGGTACCGGCTCTCGGCTGGGACCCTCCAGATCAGCCGGCCCGACCGGAACGACAGCGGCACCTACAACTGCACCGTGTCCAACCCGTTCAGCACCGGCACCGGCACCGCCCAGATCCGGGTCTATTGTGAGTGCAGGCCGGACGCCGGGGCAGATGGGCCTGAGCCGGGCCAGAAAGGTGGGGGGGGGGGCGGGGCCCATCTGGGGCGGGGATCCTGGGCTGCCTTGGCCAAGCAGGGAGCAGAGGAGACCAGACTCGCTGCCTCGGATCTGACTCGGTTCTGGTTCCCTTCCCAGACGGGCCGGAGCCCCCCACGATCAGCCTCTCGTCGGACCGTGACCCGGAGCCCCGGCGCTACGTCCGGGTGAACAGCACGGTGGGGCTGGGCTGCCGGGCCCCGTCGGACCCCCCCGCCCAGATCTACTGGAGCCTGGCCGACGCCAGCGACCCCCTGGTCCCAGCCCAGCCGGACCTGACGCTGCCCCGGGTGCAGCTCAGCCAGGCCGGGCTCTACTCCTGCCTCGCCAGCAACCCGCAAACCCAGCGCCAGCTCCGCGCCACCCTGATCCTCACCGTCACCCGTGGGTGCTGCCGGGCCCTTCCCCTCCAGGGGGCGCCAGCTCCCATCTGTCCCCAGGGTGGGGGCGGGGAATGGGGCACGGGGCCTTTCCCCTCTAGGGCGCGTCGGGTTCCCAGCCAGCCCCAGGGCAGGGATTGGCAGGCTCAGAGGGGCGGGAAATGGGGCACGGGGCCTTTCCCCTCTAGGGGGCGCCGGGTTCCCAGCCAGCCCCAGGGCAGGGACTGGCTGGCTCAGGGGGGTGGGGAATGGGTCACGGGGTCTTTCCCCTCTAGGGGGGGCTGGGTTCCCAGCCAGCCCCAGGGCAGGGGATTGGCTGGCTCAGGGGGGCGGGTAATGGGTCACGGGGCTTTTCCCCTCTAGGGGGCGCTGGGTTCCCAGCCAGCCCCAGGGCAGGGGATTGGCTGTCTCGGGCGTGGGGGAGGGGCTATGGGACTGATCTGTTTCTCTCTCTCCCCCCCCAGAGATCCCCCCCGGATCCCCCTTCTGCTCCCTGGACTCAGTGGCCAATGGCACAGCCCTTCGCTTCCTCTGCTCGTGGCCGGGGGGCTCCCCGGCTCCCAGCCTGAGTCTGCAGGGACTGCCGGGGGGTGGGGAGCAAGGGGTCGGCCCCACCCTCGAGCGGACCCTGAGCTCCCCCCTGCCCGCCCTCAATGGTACCCGGGTCACCTGCCTGGGGAGACACCTCGCCGCAGAGGGGAACTGCAGCATGACACCCGGTGAGACCCCAGCCCCACCGCCGGGGTGCTGTACCGGCTTCGGCCATGGGGGGCAGCACCGGGCTTGGGCACTGACCCTGACCCTAATTCTAGGGAGGGACTGGCACCCCCAGGGGGAAGGGGCCCCTGCCATGTGGGCGGGGCATGGGCCATGTCGGCAGAGTTGGTGTCCAATGGATGGGCGGGACGGGAGGAGTGAATGCAGGGGAGAGGCCTGGATGTCCAGTGGGTGGGGTGTGAATCGAGTGGGCGGGGCTAGCATTCAATGGGTGTGGCCTGGAGTGTGAGGGTGGAGCTAAAGTCCAGTTGATGGGGACAGGGCCAGGATACCATGGGTGGGGTTAGCATCCATGGGGAGGGGCCAGGATACCATGGGAGGAGCTAGTATCCAGGGGGAGGGGCCAGGGTACTATGGGCGGAGCTAGTATCCAGGGGAAGGGGCCAGGATATTTTGGGTGGGGCTGGCCTCCGGGGGGAGGGGCCTGAATGCTATGGGTGGGGCTAGCATCCAGGGGGAGGGTCCAGGACTCTGCGGCTGGGGCTAGCCCCAAGGGGGAAGGGCCTGGATGATGGGGCGGGGTTAACATCTGGCAAGTCCACCCAAATCAACCCCCCAACCCCTGCCCCCAGAAGCCCCCTCGGGGGTCTCTCTCTCATTCCAGGCCTCCCTGGACCCCGGGGGCACAGTCCTGCTGGATCTGCAGTGCCAGGGCACCTACCGGCCCATGGAAATCGCCTGGGCCCGGGACGGGGCACCGCTGGGTCCAGGCGGGCGGTACCGGGTCAGCGCCGACGGGGCCCGACTCACCATCAGCAACTTCACGGCCCCGCAGGACCTGGGGGGCTACTCGGTGCGGTGCCAAAACCCGCTGGGCTCGCAGGAGAGTAACCTCACGCTGACGGGTGAGAACCCTGGAGTCCTGGTTCCCAACCCCCCTCCACCACTGCTGTAACCACGAGACCCCACTCCCTTCCCCAAGCTGCGGATGGAACCCAGGAGTCCTGTCCCCACAGATCTCCCCCCCGCCTCTAACCCGCCCTCCTCCCTGCAGGTCCGTCCGTCTCCGGCTGGAGCCTGGTGCGTGGGTCGGAGCCCGGCTCGGCCCAGCTGAGCTGGGCGGTGCCGGAGGGCTCCGTGGTCACTGGGTTCTTGGTCCAGGTCCCGGGGCCCCCCGGGGGCCGGGCAGCTGGGGAGTGGCAGACGCTGCAGACGCTAGGGGGCGCCACTCGCTCCAGCACCGTGGGCGGGCTCCAGCCCAACACCCCCTATTCCTTCCGGCTGCTGCCCCTGCTGGGTGCCCAGGTTGGGGAGCCCAGCCACACACAGACGCTCCTGCCAGGTGAGTACGGGGGGGGCTGGGAGCCCGGACTCCTGGGTTCTCTTTCCAGCTCCGGGAGGGGA